AAACTTAAAATATATTTGATATTTAAATACAGTTTTGTTTTCTCAGGTCTTAAGCAATGTTGGTCCACTTGGAGGTACAATTAGCATACTGTTAGGAATTTATGCTATTTATTTGGTAAGTTTATTAAAATAAAATAATCATAACTATACAACAACAAATAACAATTAATAAACAGGAAGATCACTCCTGGACCCACGGGGAATCTTTCAAAAATGTTGTTGCATGTAAAAACCAAGATCAAAAAGAAAGCTTTTGAAAAATTTACCAGTGATTCCTTTGACCGAGAAAACCCATTTACATTATGAAAGGTCTAAAGATCCAAATATCTCGGAAATTGAAGATCCAAATATTTCAGAAATTAAAAAAGACCTTGCCTCTCTTACCACAAGATTTCATTCTTTGGAAACAATTCTAAGAGAGTACGTTATAAACTCGGATTTCCTTGATGAATTGGTGACTGAAGAAAAATGAACTTCTTATGGATGTGTAAATCTCCGAAAATTTTATTTACTATCAATTTAGAAATCATGTTCAGTGTCAGCAATGATGGTTATTTAACTTTTGGACTATTTGAAAAAATTTTAAATATATTTATTGTTGGAGACTCAGATGATACAAATAAAATGCAAATTACTTTGAAACATGGATGGTCATGTAAAAAAATTATCTCATAAAAGGTAAAAAATTTTTCTTGATATTCCTTCAACTATATTATGGAAAGTTGATTCGTATTAAAAAATATTTTACACAATTTTAATTAATTTTTAATTAATTTAGATTTGCTTCACAATCAGATTGAAGCTGAGATTTTTTTTTAACAATAATCATGATTATTGTGATGATGAAGACAATCCAATTGTTTTTTTCAGCTGCTACCTATTATAGAAATAATAAACCAGTAACATATATATCTGTGGTGATGTTGATAATACTAATGACAATAAAAGTGGTATTTCTGATGTTGATGGGTATTATCATGTAAATGAAGTATTTTGGAATAGGAAACGAGTATATTGTAATGGTGAACATCCCAATCCATAACCTATCAAAAAGATGTAATTGTGGAAGTTGGACCATCAAATAAAATAATTTGTATCATAGGTTTTTTAAATGACATTCCTCCCACAATATAAAAATAATTTATTTAAAAATGAAATATTGTTTGAACATGTAGTTTTTTTTAATATTGGATGCATTTATAATCATGCTATTATTAGATTAATGATGAATTTTATTTATTAAAAATAAACAGAGTGGACTGAAACCAAAATCAAAAAATTTATTATACACAAAGGACTTAAGTTTTTGGTTGAAACACTTTTGGCAAAAAATAATTTTTATGGGCCCAAACTACTTATAAAAAATATTGAGAAGCCCAAACTATTTCCAAAGCTGTTTTTTTTTTCAAAAATAGTTTGGACTGGAAACCTTACAAAGGACTAGCAAAAATAATCATAAAAAGTGAAAGATTTGTTCTTGAATCAGAATAATTTTTTTTTGTAGTTTTAATCACTTTCCTTTGGTTTAATAAAACTTCAATAAGATTAATATCTCTCTTAATATTTTTTGTCTTTTTTAAGATATTAGTTTTTTTAAAAAAAATTTATTGTTTTTAATTAATTTTCAAACATATATATATAGTGATTAATTTTAATATATATAAATAATAATTATGAAATTGAGAAGTTATTTAGTGTCCACATTTGTTGTCTTTTGATAAAAATTTAATCTATTTTAATATTATTTAATTCCTGAAAATCATGTTCGGAATTCTTCTGAGATTTATACTTTTAACAGCATACAGTCAAACTGAACCACTATTAAACAATTTTGCTTTATAATGATGCAAAATTGGTTAACTAAAACATAATTAATAAAATCACCTTGTTAAGCCAAATTCAATATAATTCGATAAACTAAACTTAAGGTTTGATGTTGATGATTATAAACCAATTTTAAAATTCGACTTATAAAGATAAAACCATGACAAACATTTTAGAAACACAACAACAAGAAAATAAAGAAAAAACTATTAAATAAAATTGCCGATTTAGAAAATAATTAGCAGATAAAGATAAGTAAAGAGAAGAACAAATAGAAGATCTGAAACATAAAATCTGACATGTAACAGGCCAGTCTCTTGATGAGAATGGTGAAGTTAGCATGTATGCTCCTAGGGGAACATGATGATACAAAAGACTAAATAAGAAATGAATGGATGAAGGGAAATTAAGAATGGCAGTAGATCCAAATGAAACTAGGGAATGTGCCAAAAATTGTAAAAGAGTTTGGTTTGATAACATTACAATTGAAGAAATGTTAGATGGTTTGATTGAAAGTTCAAATGAATTAGGTTCAGAATGTTTAGATTATGTTGGAAAGTTAAGTAGTTTAAATGCTCAAAAGTATGAACAAAAAAGAGAATACAAAGAGAAGTTAAATGAAAAAGAAGAGCAGATTAAAAATTTAGAAGCAGAAAAAAATGAACTAGTAGCATGGGTAGAAGAGTTGGAAGATGAGGTGGAAATGGAATGAGAAGAAGCTAAGAAAGCACTAGATGAAGCAATGGAATGGAGAAAGCAGAATTAGAAAATGCTGGCAATGAACTTTTGAGGCAATTATACAAAGAACATAAGAAAAATAAGAACCAAAAAGAATACATTGAACAATTGGAAACAAAACTGTATGGGCAAGAATAACCACTGAGAAAAGCACTTGAAAAAAATGCAAATCAAAAAACAGAAATTGAGGATTTACAGGGAAAACTAGGTTCAATTAGTAAACTATATTTGGACAATAAACCTTCACCAAAATCAACAAGCAAATTCAAAATCTTTAAAGAAAAAGCAAAAACTAAATTCCAACACTTAATAGAAAAAACCAAATACCAAATTCAAGAGTTATTGACTTGAATAGAAGTTAGAGTCAAGTAATTATGAGAGGACTCCTTTACACAAATTTGGGTTTAGAAGAGTGAAACAAAGAAGGAACTTGTGATTTTTGGTCCCATTTTGAAAATAATGAAAATCAATCAATCTGTCAAATGAGAACACAAAGTAAAATGACTGAAGAGTTAGTAATGTTGTATGTGAAATTGAAATATTATGGAGTGGGGTGAAATTCTGATTGGCTAATTTGAATTTCACACATGTAAATTTGAATTTCACACATGTAAATTTGAATTTCACATATGTGAATTGCGAATTCACATAATTTCATTTTCAAGTACAACAGAGCTGCAGATTTTAAAGAGTCACCATAATAAACTTTTTTTGATTCCATATCAAGTTTTGCAACTGTCCAATGGTTGTTATTAATGTGTAAAATAATATAAATTTGTTTAGTTTCATCACTTTGAAAACAAAAATTATTTAACAGCCTAGATGCTAATCTAAAGTTATTGTCTATTATAGAACTATAAAAGTGTACTGGAAGCAAAATAATATCATTGTAATTGATTGTTTGGGTTTTATACGCCATAAATATTTTTAGTACTGAATCAATTACAGAATCATTTATATAATTCCACCCTGCCAAAGTGCATAAATCTACAATTTTTATGCTTAAGTTGATTCTAAGTTCCTGGTATTATTTTTTTGTTTTAATTATTCTTTCATTTAATGCTTTCTTGATGGATTGGTCAATTTTGCTGGAAATAATTCATTTAATTAAAATTTTAAGATCTTGTTGATATTTTATTGCTGAATATATTTTATTCATTTTATTTAGATCATGAAAGCTAGCTATTCCAAATCCAAGAACTCTGATGTATGTATCATTAGTTACATTGTCATCTTTTCTAAAACCTGGCATTTTTTTAAATTCTTTTATTGAATAATTTATGTATTGAGGAGGAGGGAGACAGAAATCCAGTTTAATAATTTCTTTAATTTGCAATTCATTTTCGTTTATTAAAAACATAAATTGATCAACAATTTTAGGAAATATTGTGCTTTTGTAATTGATGGAAGTTTGATATTAATTAAATCTTCTCCAGTAATTATATTTAAATAGTCATGGCATTTTCATAATAATTTTCAAATCTAGTTAAAAAATAGAATGTTTGTTATTAAATTATAATAATCAAAAGATTAGATTTAAACAACTTACTGGCCATCAGTAAAAATCATTTCATTATCAGAGATTTCAATTGGAAGTGAAGCAGAACCAATTTTTTTGTTGGAATTCATTTTAAAAATAAATAAACAAAATTGATTATTTTTTTTCATTTTAAAAGAGAGAAAAGGAAATGATTTTAATAAAAAAAAATTTTTAATTAATTTCTTGTTTTAAAGTGATCAAAAGGGAAACAGACAATGATTTTAATAAAGAAAAAAACTAATTGAGTATTCTCTTGTTTTAAAGGGATCAAAAAAGACAGATTATTTTTTGTTTTAAAAAAGAGAAAAGGAAAATAGTAAAAAATTTAATTGAGTGTTTTCTTGTTTTAAAGCGATCAAAATAAAGAAAAAAATTAATTGAGTATTCTATTGTTTTAAAGAGATCAAAAAAGACAAAGATTATTTTTTGTTAAAAGAGAGAAAAGGAAAACAATTTTAAATTATGAAAAATTTAATTGAGTATTCCTTGTTTTAAAGAGATCAAAAAAGACAAAGATTATTTTTTTGTTTTAAAAAAGAGAAAAAGAAAATGATTTTAAATAAATAAAATTTAATAGAGTATTTTCTTGTTTTAAAGTAATCAAAAGAGAAAAGGACAACAATTTTAATAAAGAAAAAATTGAGTATTCTCTTGTTTTAAAGAGATAAAAAGGAAAAAATTAATTGAGTATTATTTTATTTTAAAGATCAAAGGAAAAGAAAACTGATTTTAAAAAAAAATTGATATTTTTTTTTAATTGAGAAAAGAAACTAATTGAATATTTTTTTTAATTGAGAAAAAAAACTAGTTGAATATTTTTTTTTGTTTTAGTTTTAGAGAGAAAACAATTTAATAAAAAGCAAAAGAAAGAAATTTTGAAACCATTTATATATGTTTTCAGCATGTATAATTCATTATTTGACTGTAATCTATTTTTTTTTAACAGGTTAAATTCAATAATTTCTATTATTACAGCTTTACAATTTCCTTGATTATTACAACTATTAAATTGCAATCTGTTTCTTTAACAAGATAAATAAATTGTTTCTGTTAATCAATCACAACCACTTTACTTTTTATGGGCAAAATTATTATAACTATTTAATTGCCTTTAACAGGATAAATTAATTGTTTCTGTTATTCAATCTATTCAATCACAACCACTTTTCTTTTTACAGGTGAAATTCAATCTTTTTTTTCAGTTTTACAATTTCCACGATTATTACAACTATTCAATTGCAATCTGTTTTCTTTAACAGGATTAATTAATTGTTTCAATTATTCAATCACAACCACTTTACTTTTTACAGGCAAATTATTATAACTATTTAATTGCAATTTGTTTTCTTTAACAAGATAAATTAATCATT